CCACCTAATATTGATAGAGAAATCTCGTCAAATAATTCGGCTGGACTTAGCGAAATTTCTCCAGCGGATGACTCGTTTTTGGTGGCTGCTTCAGGAGAAGCAACTAGATTTCTTGGTTTGTTCGGCAAGATTACTTGTAGCTGTCGCGTTTGTTCCTCGATGATTACGTTCATCACGTAGTGTTTTGATAACACGTAATGCTCGCTGATATTTCCCAGTCATTCTCGAAACCAATTTGCCGATCCACAACGGAATTCCACTTAATAAGATGAATTGATTTGCAATGTGAATAAAATCATTCAAAGCATTGCTGAGGTTAAAATCGCCGACTGCTGCTGATGCTTCAAGATCATAATCAAAAGCGATTAATCCAATTACATTAAGCAAAAACCTTTTACACTGTTCGGCTAGATCTGTATGAATCTCTCCATTTCGATGGACTAGTTTTTCGTTGATAAAATGATCTGTGCAACGAATAATAGTATTGAGATATGGCAAAATCTTGGCTCGTTTGAGCATTGGCAACATAAAGCGTGCATGACATTTCCATTCGTTTCCACGTAAGGCGATTAGGCCCTTTGGGAAAAGCACACCAAAATTTCGAGTCGTAATTTCCGTCATATCATATGTATGTCTGTTCGCTAAGACGTACTGTACATGTTCAATACGCGAGAGAACTATTGAATAATAAGGTCCGAACCAGAAAAAGAATACATCACCGTATTTAGCTTTTAGCTCAGCAAAGACTTCTTGAACCGGCAATCGTCGACAAGAGGAAATACCTGTATTACGCAAATTACCAAATATCCATTCTGGTTTCAGGCCAGGCAAAGTGGCAGTACGATTCCTCTCTTTAGATTTCAAATACCAGTAAACAGTCACGAGTAATATTATTACAAGGACGATAGTGCTGGAAAAAAACATTGAAGTGATGGTTACTGCACAAAAAACAAAATAAAGAATGGTATTTTATATTTTTTTCGACGATCGTGTAGGAACGGAAAAAAATACATGCAATGGAGAGCAAATATTGAGCCTATGCGTGTGCACGATCGACCATGAGCGTGGGTGTGTGGGTGTGGGTGTGGGTGTGTTCGTGTGTGTTTAGAGAAGAAATGCATCCACACACCCTTGGATGGCGCAAAAATAATGGCCGATCTTTGTATGAATGGGTATACGTTCCAATCATTCGTTTATTCACTCGTTTATATGTTGTGTGTTAGCGATTATGTTTGTACATAGTAAGGTGGCATGTTAATTTTGAACATCTAATAAATTGTTTTTTTTTTCAATATGAAAATTTTGAATAAAGACTTCATCACACATCAGTATTCAAGTGAGTTAATGACGAATAACTTTTTGATTGATATGTGGGTGATCTATTTTGACGAACATGAGACATATCGACGTACGGCAACTTTTGAAAATTATCAAATGAAAGAGAAACAACCATCATTAATAATGAATGGAAGCAAAGTTTTCCATGAACACTTTTGTCATGTTGTGTTGGTTGATCTTATATCAGATAAGACCAGTTTATTTTAAATAACCAATCGACTAGGCTTGGATCCGAATCGCCTTTTACTGTTGAGCGATAAAACAACGATATGCAGCTGTTATATTCGACGGTCTTTATCAAGTTCTAAATGTTCAACAAGCAAAAGAGGTATTTTGCTTATGTTCAATGCTATTGATCATTTCGTTTTCAAAGGAAACTCAAAAATAAATGGATAATATTATGATTTTATCAAATAGCACATTTATCCTTCGATGATATAAATCGATTTGTGAACTAATGGTTTATTTGTTTGAGACCGGCGCTGATCAATGCACAAGAACAAATAGTCGAATTAAAAAAAAAAATTCGTAACATCGAATTCTTTTCGTCTTCCAATTATTTTTACTCTTGTTGTAGTTTCCCAAACGTCAACGACATCGATTGTTGATTAAAATACACAAAAGTTGCGGTAGCTTACATTCAATATTTCATGTTTAGCAAATGTCAAAGCTAAAACTCAATGTTCAACATATAAAAAAAAAACTTTTCTTCATTCTGGTTGTGGAACAAATGATCGGATGGTATCTATTTTGAATTTTCACAACATCGCTACAGTTTCCGCGAGGGAATATATAACAGGTATTGAGTTTGACTGCACTCTCACCTTGAGAGGTATCCTCAGGATGTGTGAAAATTGATGTGTCAAGATTCCGCAATACCGTTATGAAATCCGATGATTGAGATTTTTGGAAAAGTGTAGTAACGTTTGATGTATCCAGTAAGCGTTTGGTTGTGCTGATAGCTTGATTATATATTTTATTAGACACAAAAATATGGCACTTGTTGTCTGTTCCAACTAAATACATTAACTCCTTTCTAGGAATTGCATCGATAATCTCAATTACCTTGTATACCTTCAAAAACTCGATTTGTTGCTACATCTCTATAAGAGGACACTAGAACAGAGTTCTGGGAAATCATAAAAGGCATCAAATGTATATTTGAGTCGTTCATTTTTTGTCAATGATATCTAAAGTAATCAGTACTTTATCTAAACATAGTAAAATAATAAAGATTCAAGTTTTTACCAAAACTCCTCATATTGACTATGACCATCAAAACCAATGTTAACGATTTGCATACGAACAAACTTCACACTACTAAACGCAAATGACATATATGTTTTTTTTGTGGTCATTAACGTATCGACATGAGTGGAGCAAAACAATATACGATAGATGTATTTAAAGATGACGTTTTGCTTATTTTAAAACATCTGATATTTAAACATATCAACGAATGTCCTTCACAAGTTTTCATTTTTTATCGTTATTTGTCTTGTGATTAATCCGATTTTTCTTATTGTAATTATTCTTTTTCTATGAGTGTTTTGTCCAGATGTAATACTTATGTCTCATTTTCAAACATCATAACTGATTGATGAATTCAATTAAAACCAAATTATCTCACATAATATTCTCATGAAATTGTCTTTAGTAGTAAACATTATTATTTAAAAGTTGTTGGCAAACTGTATCGATAATTGTAAATGAATATTTTGTACTTTTTTAATCGAACTCATTCTCAATAAAAATATTTCTATTTTTCTTAATTCAGCTATTGAATCAAAAACTGCAATTGTTAAACAAAACTATAAGTAATCAGACGATTCATTTACAACGAGCATATCAGCATCTGTACTGCTGCTTGCATAAAAATAAGTGTTTGGTGACAACTAGGTGTATCCTATTTTGAAAAAGTCTATCGTGTCTAATATGCCTGTCCTATCTTTCCTAAAGATATTCTCACTCATTGGCGCACTTGTTAACATAGTTATCATTTACTTGATTGAAATGATACATTAAAGTGCATAAGTTCACGCTCAAAAGTTCCTGACTAAGATATAATGCTGACTCATCGCGAAAACTGAAGTAAATTGAAATAGATAACTAAAACAATTCTGCTCCTATCTCATACACTTATGTATCACAACTCATCTTTCAAATAGCTGTACTTCGTCGAGAATACAGTACTAAGTTGACTGAATGAAAATTCACATATATAGAAAATCGAATTTTAGTATAGAATATGAATTGGAAAACGAATGAAACACTCAGAAGATCAAAGTTATCATATGAACTGATACATTTTCATCACAATAAGGTTAACACACCAAAATATAAGAACAAAACTATTTTGATATGTTAAATGAAATCCTGAAGTGAATAATTGTCTAACAAAAATATCGAAAGAAACCATTCACTGTCATTTAGATCCAATAGTTCTCTTTATCAAATTAGTGTCTGAATGCAAGATTTTATATATCTATCCAGATGAAAGTATTGATTGTTCATTTGTTTGAGATAATTAATATAATTCTGAACTATTCAAAGCACGCTGATCCCATAATCCACCGGTGACCAATACGCTTCCATTTGTTAATACGGATGCTGAATGTAAATATCGTGCATTATTCATCGTACCAATCGTTGTCCAAGTTCCTGTTGATGGATCATACAACTCAGCATTAATTTTAGGAAAAAAATCACCCCATCCACCAGTAACTAACACTTTTCCGTCTGTTAATATGGATGCTGTGTATCCAATTCGTATAATGTTCATACTACCAGTCATTGTCCAAGTACCTGCTGATGGATCATACAACTCAGCACTATTTAGAGAAGTACCATTATATCCACCAGCAACTAACACTTTTCCATTGGCTAATACGGATGCTGTGTGTCCACGTCGTGAATTATTCATACTACCAGTCATTGTCCAAGTGCCTGTTGATGGATCATACAACTCAGCACTATTTAGAGGAGAAATACCATTATCTCCACCAGTAACTAACACGTTTCCATTTGTTAATACGGATGCTATATGGGAATATCGTGCAGTTTTCATGCTACCAGTGTTTAGCCATCCTAGAAGAACCGTTTGAATATATTCATGCTGAACATTAGGATATCATCGAATACACAAGATCGTCTGCACTTAGGAGCCACTGCACGAGAGCCACGTTAGACCTTGCTCAATAGATAATTTGAGACTTCCATGGAAGTGATCTCATTTTGTAGAGCTAGCTTTTATAGGAATATAGCCAAGTTTGGAGACTTAGCGAAATAATTTTGGTTGAGATATGATTATCCGACTGATACTACCCAAAATGGCTTTTTATCAATTTCAAATACTTTTTGTCAACCAGCTATTCGAAACGTATTCACGATATCTTCTTGCTAGTAGGTGATAGAATTCTGAAAGTTTTACGAAACATATATTTTGAGATGAACAATCTAACCATCTTATCCAATACTGTCGATGTTGTGATCAAGTGCCACGGAAATTTTCACTGCAGTTCTAGTCTACTGATATATTAGACTCAAAAATAGCATATCTTCGCGATAGACATCTTTCAAAGCAGTGCGATAAAATTGTCTCAAACTTTTTCTCCAAAGGAAACTAACTTGGTGCTACTTGATTATGCAAGAAAAAATTTGAGATCTTAAAGTTTGACCCGGTAAGATTTATCATAAAATAACACTATCATTTTCTGTAATACAGAACGAAGAGGAGTTTGGGTAATTTTCACACCATTAGAAACAATAGCTACGTGAATCGAAACTTTCATCCATTATGGATGTCAAAAATAGTAGTCTCTCCTTTAAATTTCAGCTTGAACAATAAAATTTTCACCCTATTTTGGGGTTCTATTAGAGAGACATTTTCGCGATCTTTAAGATTCAAAATAATGGAACAACTGATTCATTAAGTTTTGGTAGTCTTCACATGATTGAATAGCCAGTTAGATAGTTGTCTATGAGTTAAAATTAAAAAAAAAACTGCTGTAAAAAATTGAAGATGTTCTCCCCAAGACATCCTGCATAGAAGAGTTAACTTTTTTTGAAATATAGGATGTGGATGTGGGTGTGTGTTTTCTCTTCATTCACACACCGACCTACACCTTCGATTGGGTTGTCATACACAATTTTTTTTTCAATATGAAATGATCTGTATGAAAATTTAGTTAAAGTAGATTTGATCATTCACATAAAGAAATCTATTTTCAATAATGTTGCTACTAGAGAATGTTATATAAGAACAATTCTGTACATAATAGGTTCAGTAAGTATATAATGACCATAGGCGACCGAATTATCTGTAAAGATTGCTTTTAAGACAAACAAACTATTAATAATTTGCATAGTTTAACTTCTCTCAAGATATAAAAGGATATTATTTCTATTTCAACCTTTTCATATCAGAATAATGAATGTATCCAATGTAAACAATGTCTTTAGCCATGTTAAGAACGATGATTTCATCTAAGATTTTCAATAATAAAGATGTGGCCGAACAATCAAAAGGCTATCTAAAAGTATTTTCATAAATCTTGCTTCAATTATAGACACAACTAATTTTATAAAAGAAATAAGTCATATAAATTGATTATTGTATTTTCGCTGGAAACTGTATAAACAATATAGTATTAGTCTACTGTTTTCTGAGATGTATAAAATTTCAATCTATTTAATTATCCATCTTGTTTTCTTTCCATTCTCATCGTTAACTTGATCTCTCAGATTTTGTATTTATTTATCTTTCATGAAAGATTCATTCATTTCTGAATTCGTAAGATCGAATCAAATCTCCACTACTAATACAGACAAAATACTTTAACTGGTTTCTATACACTCACAAATGTAAGTAATGCGTGCTTTTACCTAACTTACAGAAATTCATCGATAACAATGGCAAACATACTGCTTGTGGTGAGCAACACGAGTTAACGATGCATATAGAAATATTTGATGCACAAGTATAATTAGCATTATCACATGGTTTCAAAATAGAACATATGATACCCGGTGCACAATATCTACCATTATTGACTGTACGGTAATCAAAGCAAGGTGTTGATGATGAACGGCAGCTATCATTATTATTCGAACTTACATGACATTGTTGTAAGGAACAATTTAATATTGGTTGCCATGCAGTATGAGGCGAGGAAGACAATGTAAATTGGACAGTAGCTTTATTTTCATTACAATAGTAATTAGGTACTGTTGTAGTTTGACCTAAATATTGTTTATACAAGAAAAGAATGAAATGAGAAGAAATAAATTCACCAACCTTTCACGTACGCAAAGCAGATGCTGAAAAATAAAACTATTATAAATTGCATGGTTTCTATGTAATAAATAAATGAGAAAAGTATTTAAAATTTCTTGTTTTGTGGAAATTATGTACATTTTCTAAGAAACTATAGAGTTGTAGTAAGTTTTAATTTGAAGTCTTGACACTCTTCCCATTCCTCCTCTTTTTCAGAGTTCCTCACCAATGGAAAAAGGGGTTGAGCGACATTAACGATATGAGTTTAGTTGTTCCAGAAGATATTTTAATACATGCAAATTTATATTCAAGTGGGTGTGGGGGTGTGTGAGAGTAAGGAATAGATATCCACACCCACCCTTATAAATGAGATTGAATGCTGTCATTTGCAAAAAATTGCTTGTAAGTAAAAGTGGCAATGATGTATTTTTTTTTACAAGTCATCGAATGAATTATTTAAAGTGGGTGTTCTCATTACGCACGGATCGACAACTTTTCTTCCCTCTATTAATTGCAATATCAGCATTACTCGATACGGAATTTTACGCTGATTACGAATGTCAAGTTCATATTTCAAAGATATGAAATTTTGTTCTAGCAAACTAATTTTAAATCGGATGCTTACATTTCGAGTAACATTTACTTTCAATCGTCAGCCAAGATTCAGAACACTACTCAAAAACCATTCACTTCTTACGAAATGATTCCTTTTCTGCTCGGTAATTTGATCTTTGTTCAATGTCTTCTCTATATTGATTTCGTAAATGAGTTCAAAATCGTACAAAGAAATGCATAAAATGTTCATTTTACGCGAAGATTAGGGAAATTCCGGTTTTCTGAATATATTTACTTAATTCTGACTTCAAAAAAGTTTCCAATTCCAATTTAAATACTATATTCGAAATCAACGAGAAAACTTACATCTCAGAACTTATAACATATATATATAATTTAATAACAATGTTTTTTCTTTTTGTTTAAAATCTCCTCTAGAATTCATGGGATGATAGTTAAACTATTGAATGTTTCAAAATTCGTTTCGATCATTGTGGATACATTTAATTATCGATTTGACCCTGATAGGATTTTCAACAAATAAAAAGTTTTTTTAATAATTATATGAAATAGGTTGTTAGATGTAGTTTTTGTCGCTAATTCCCAATATGGTATTTAAATTGAAATTCAAAACTGTTTTGATGAGAGGGAAACAGAGGAGATGCTAGTCTTGAAGTCTTCTGTTTTCCCTCCGTGATTTGGAGCCGAAATACAGCGAATTTACGTAGAAAATAGGAATTTTTCTAGTTTTCTCTCGATTTTGAATTCATGTTCGATATCAATAAAAAAAATTACATCTAAACATATACAGAAGACCTTGGAACAAGATTGAATTATCGAGTAGAAAAGGGGTCAACTTGTAAGAAATCATCGATTGCTATGCAAGTTTTCAGTGTAGAGTTCTAGCAACACTGAATTTGACTTTTTACGATAGTTAATTTTTATGTGTTGGCTAGATTATCTGTCTTTCTGTATAAAAGCATATGTTTGATTATGTAAAGCTTATTCTTCATGTAAACTGTTGATAAAAATAATATATCTCTAGAAATGTAAGCATAACATTAAAAATTAGTTTACTCAGTCGAAATCTCATACTTTTGAAATATGAAGTTGATGTTTCTAATGAGGATCAAATGCTACATTGAGTGATGCACATATTGCAATAAACAGAGAGAATAAGTCGTCGATCGATTCTTAGGATGGATACTGCCGAGTTGAAAGGATCGACTAGACGAATTTCGAACTATTGATTAGTTAAAAATGTTTTCTGTTATTCGTAATTTTCACGAAAAATATTGTACTCACTTTGAAAGATATTCATTTTTGGATCAAATGATACATAAAGACGATTTATAGGGAAATGGCAAAAAGCGACTCTATTCAAAACAATAATTTATTTTAAACTACTAAAGTGAGACCTAAATGAATACAACATATCATTTTATGCTCATTTCTCCTACAAAGCTGTGTTGTCACTTCAAACGCTTCTCTTTTTCAGATAAAAAGATGGAGAATGATGATTTACAACGACATGTCTTTTTATACTAGACAAGTGAGCAATAAAATTTAAAAAACACCGTTTTGTATGCGTGTCTTTCATAGAGAAAACTTGAATCAATTGAAAATAAGATCATTTTTGTCACTGAAGAGAGAAAATAATGACTTACAATCGTTTGCAAAGGTGAAAGCCCAGATTAGTGGCATGTTTACTTCGAATGGTGCTCTTTTCAAATCTATTGATGCCGAATAACCATCTATAATAAGTGTGTAAGATAAGAGCTGATGCGAACAACAAGCCTTTTTCATACCAGAAAAGGGAGCAATAAAAATCATCAAAAGCATCATTTTAGTGCTCCTTTGTCAGAAGGAACTCACGAGTAAACATTCTCAAGTGTCACATTGCTTTTGAGTTGAGAGTATGAGCATCATATAGGCCCTAATGATCTATGAATAACCTGAAAAAATTTCGTGCTGCTAGCTTATTGCTGTCGAGATATTGTATTTTTACGATGTGTTTTTAGATAAATGCCGTGGTCCCCTCGGGAACACTAGAAAAAATGATTTTCGAATTTAGGCTTGAAACTTTACATAGAAACAGGCCTTCTTAAGAATAGTTATTTGTGAAAGTTTCAGATGTTTTGATTAGTTCCTATCCTGAAATGAGAACATCAAATCTACTGATTTATCCAACTAAAGTTATCATAGCTATATCTACGGATAGGAACAACAAAAAGGTT